ATTTTACAACATTTAATGGACTTGTATGTGCCTCAGGTTTAGAAGAGGTCATCGTGGGGGGCGGAGTCATGTGTCCCATCTAATATGGCAATTAGGCCTTTTGTCACTTCATTTAACCGTTTTTAAGAGTAATTTCGATCATTATTGATCTAATTTTACATTTTTGTGTTCCATTTGTAGGTACCATCAAGGATCTCAAGTCCATTTTAGAGGGCGGAGTTGACGCCTTGTCTTCAAATTTACATGAATGAACATTAAAGGTAAGGCACACATGATATTGAGATAATTTTACAAATATTTAATGGACTTGTATGTGCCTCAGGTTTAGAAGAGGTCATCGTGGGGGGCGGAGTCATGTGTCCCATCTAATATGGCGTTTTGGCCTTTTGTCACTTCATTTAACCGTTTTTAAGAGTAATTTCGATCATTATTGATCTAATTTTACATTTTTGTTTTCCATTTGTAGGTAGCGTCAAGGATCTCAAGTCCATTTTAGAGGGCGGAGTTGACGCCTTGTCTTCAAATATACATGAATGAACATTAAAGTTAAAGCACACATGATATTGAGATAATTTTACAAATATTTAATGGACTTGTATGTGCCTCAGGTTTAGAAGAGGTCTTCGTGGGGGGCGGAGTCATGCGTCCCATCTAATATGGCATTTTGGCCTTTTGTCACTTCATTTAACCGTTTTTAAGTGTAGTTTCGGTCATTATTGATCTAATTTTGCATTTTTGTGTTCCATTTGTAGGTACCGTCAAGGATCTCAAGTCCATTTTAGAGGGCGGAGTTGACGCCTTGTCTTCAAATTTACATGAATGAACATTAAAGGTAAAGCACACATGATATTGAGATAATTTTACAAATATTTAATGGACTTGTATGTGCCTCAGGTTTAGAAGAGGTCATCGTGGGGGGCGGAGTCTTGCTTCCCATCTAATATGGCGTTTTGGCCTATTGTCACTTCATTTAACCGTTTTTAGGAGTAGTTTCGGTCATTATTGATCTAATTTTGCATTTTTGTGTTCCATTTGTAGGTACCGTCAAGGATCTCAAGTCCATTTTAGAGGGCGGAGTTGACGCCTTGTCTTCAAATTTACATGAATGAACATTAAAGGTAAAGCACACATGATATTGAGATAATTTTACAAATATTTAATGGACTTGTATGTGCCTCAGGTTTAGAAGAGGTCATCGTGGGGGGCGGAGTCATGCATCCCATCTAATATGGCGTTTTGGCCTTTTGTCACTTCATTTAACCGTTTTTAAGAGTAGTTTCGATCATTATTGATCTAATTTTGCATTTTTGTGTTCCATTTGTACTGTATGTACCGTCAAGGATCTCAAGTCCATTTAGAGGGCGGAGTTGACGCCTTGTTTTCAAATTTACATGAATGAACATTAAAGGTAAAGCACACATGATATTGAGATAACTTTACAAATATTTAATGGACTTGTATGTGCCGCTCGTTGAGAAGAGGTCATCATGGGGGGTGGAGTCACTTACTGATTCAGAGAGAGAGAGGATAGGGTAAGCAAGTCAAAAGACTCATACTGAGGAATAA